AAAAAGTATTTTTAGCAGATAAGTCACAATCAAGGTCACAAGGTCAATGACCTTGGTGTCTTTTGAAAGAACTTTATTGGTGTAGTCTGCATACCAAATTTGATGTGAAGTTAAGCTGTTCTATGAAAATCTTTATAAAAGTAAAGAGATTGTAGAATCAGGAAATATCCATGAAAAATTAGAGATATATTATGTGCCGAAATTAAACAAAAAAGAATCAGAAAGTCTCGAAGGCCCTTTGACTAATTCTGAAGTTTTGAATTATTTGAAAATTATGAAAAATGAGGAAAAACCCTGGACCAGACGGGTTCACCTGTGAATTTTTCAAATTTTTTTGGCATGATTTAGGTGCTTTCATTACAAGAGCAATAAACAACTCGTATGAATTATCACACTTTACTGAATCAAATAAATTAGGTTTAATAACTTGCCTACCAAAACCAGGAAAACAAAAACAATTCTTAAAGAACTGGCGCCCAATCAGTTTATTGAATGTGATTTATAAAATAGCCTCAGGCTGTATTGCTGAACGATTAAAAACTGTGTTGAATAAATTAATAAATAAGGACCAAACTGGCTTTTTGAAGGGAAGATTCATAGGTGAAAATATTAGACTAGTTTATGATTTAATGTATTACACAGAACAAAAACATATTCCAGGCTTATTAACCCTTTCTCTTCCGGCGCATTTCACCTGATTTTGGAGGCCTTTTGATATGGCATTATTAAATTATTTCTAACTTTTTTATCCAAGGGAAAAGCTAGGCATAATGCATACCATTTTGTAGGAAATTTCTTACAGATGATATTTTATGACTGTTTAGATACTCAACCACTGACCTTATTAGTAAAAATTGAGGTCAAAGGTCAATTAAGTGTAAAAGTTTATGGATTTTTTTTGATAATTTTTCATCTTTAAGCTAAATATTAAGTATGATGTATGTTGAAATAGGAAATTTGGGATATACCCACAAAAGAGCATTATACTGTACTACATGAAACACACAAACTGTTTTTTCAATTCTGCATATAACTACTTAAAAGGGGTTGCTAAGAAACGCAGAATTCTTTAATTTTCGGGCAGAAATTTTCATTTTTTACTCATCCTAGACAAATTTATGCATCCCAGCACATATAAAAGTTAGATGTGAGGTCATAAAATTATAAGGGACATACAACAGATAAATTGTCTTAAAGTTTGACCTCATTAAAACTATATTTTAGGAGGTCAAAGGTCAAATAAGTGCAAAAGTTTCATCAATTTTTTTCAACACTTCTCAATATTCTTTCCATAATTTTACACAATGGATGCTGAAATGGAAAATTCTGAATATACTCTCAAGAAGGGATCAGAACTCCAATATCAACCCATCATTTTAGTTCAAATCTCTGTTTAATGACCTTTAAGTGGTTGCTAAGCAACATCATTTGAAAGTTTTTGGCTATATACATGTTTGTTATTTCACATTCTGGACAAATTCTAGAAACTTTTTGTATATTTCATGATATTGTTTGTAAGATATGGGCCATAAAGATGAAAGAGCATTTTTGTATTAAAAATTGACCTTGACACTCTTGTTCTTCAGGGGGTCAAGGTCATATCAGTACAGAATTCTGCTTTAAACTGTAAGTAAATATAAATTTTGAAATGCTTCAAACATGGATAAATCATCTAATAGTTGACATAATAAAAATGGCGAATGACAAAGTTTGCAAGCAGGAATTCTGGTCTGCTTCTTACAAAGCCCTAGCAAAACATGTATACTATCTTTTTGATAAACAAGAAATCCATTCTCTTGATGACATTAAAAATAATCTTTATTTTCATGGATTTAATTTAACAAGAAAAAAACTAAATGATTTCATTGCAAGATTTTTCTGGTATAACAGAGCTTAAGGGGTACAATAAAGACTTGACATGTTATCTTGGAGGGAAATAATAATAAAGTGCCACGCCACAGCATGATACGCCCGTCAAAAAATTACAATTACAATGTATCTTAAACAGTTAAAAGTGCAGGAAAATCATGTCAACCTTGATTTTAAGATTTCAATGATTTTTACACACCTTAAAAAAATTTGTTTAGCCATCTCCTGTGGTGTATGCATTAATTATAACAAATATTGCACCATTCATAGATTTCTATTCCATGCCAAATGCCTATCATATTAAACAATATCAAATTACACAACTTAATCAATACCTAATTAATTTTGGAAATAAAAGGCTGGCCATCAAATATAAACTGACCAACAGTTCCTCTGTCTAATTCCCATAAGACCATGCTCTGAAGAAATGAAAGAGACATGCAGCTAGCCTTCCTACATTGAAAACATTAATTAATCTTTAACTGGATGCTTGTCTACTCATTACTCCCAAAAGATTATTGGATCTGCACTATCTACCATAAAACATTTTTAAAACATACAAAACATCAATGATTTTTTTTTTTAGATTTAATGTCAGACAGTTAATTGTTAATATGCAATTCATATGGGCATGCAGATTCCACCCCTACCCCCATAAAATTATTTTTTAAGTTCATAATATTATGTATTATCAAAATAGTTTAATTCGCAATATCAAATTAGTTTTAATTCTTCTCATCAAATTCATTTTAAAACTTCGGCTAGCCAACTGAAGCTATTTTTAATCCAGCAGGCTTACCCATTTGGCCCAATACTCAAGGGATATAGATAGCACCGATGCTCTTACAGCTACTCCTCACACTAAACTCATTAATCTCTCTCTCTAATTTGACATGCAATTTTCTGTTATCAAAATTTTTCTTGACCAGTGCTTGATAATTAGACTCATGGGAGTGCTGGAATTTCTCTAACATACATTATATTTGTTATAGATTGCTGTCAAGTATATGCTAAAAACAATAAGTATTTTCTTGATTTAACATTTTTTCTAAAAAGGTTAGTGCAATAGTTTTACATTTTTTTGAATGTGTAAATGAATAGAAAAAAAGACATCTTTTTTTTTAAATTCCACTTAAATTAAAGGTCACAGTGACCTTGAAATAGGTCGCGAAACACCTTCTACCTAAGATGCATAAACTGGCCAAGTTTGATGATCCTAAGTCTAATAGTTTTCTAGTTATGGACCGGACAGGATTTTTCCATATTTGGCTATAACTTTTTAATTATAGGTCAAAGCGACCTACTTTTTGTGCGCGACACACCTTCTACCCAAGATGTATCAGCTGACACAAAGTTTGATAACTCTAGGCCTTATAGTATTAAAGTTATGAGCCGGACACGAGAAAAGCTAACAGACGGACGGACGGACAGACGGACAGACAGACAGACGGACATGAAGCCTATAACATAATACGTCCCGTCTTAAGACGGGCGTATAATAATAGATAGCTTTGGCAATATTTAATGCAAAACTGTTTAGTCAATAAGATGAAAATTTGTCGCTTATATCCAAATATACAAATACAGAAATATTGCAAGATGAATTCCAAATCAGACTGAAATCTTCAACAAAATGTTGAAGAGCACTTTTACTTTGTGTCCACCATTCTTTTATCAACTGTCATTTCTCTGTAAGACTGGAGGAAATTCTTCGACTTGTCAAAGACATTATTATTTGCTGTATTTTGAAACAGATACATGTCATTGTGTATATAAATTTATATTTATAAATAAAATTAAGAATGCTAAAATTACTACATTTATTTGATTTTCCTTTGAAAATAAAAAAAAAATTAAAATTGTATTCATTATGTGATCCAAGTAGTTAAATGATATTGTTAAGTCAATGTATCAGGACTGATAATTCAAAAACCTTGTAGTAAACCACCATGGTAAAATTACTGAACTAAAACAAATAGCATATATGGTAATCTGACTAAAGCCAGACCTCTGTTTACGTTATCGCAACATGTAAAAAAATCTGGCATTAGATTGCTACGAAAGCCAGGAAGGGACACGTAAATTTTTCAAAAAAGTAAAAGATGATATCGAATCGGATTAGACAATCTAATCCCACGGATTACTAATTTGTTCCCTCGATTTATAATATGAGATCTCGAATTACACAATCCTATCTTAAGAATTACTAATTCGCCCCCTTGATTCATAATTTGAGATCTCGAATTACATACCAGTAATTTGTTTTCACAGATTGATAATTCAACATCTTGATTTGTTACAACGTCAGTCTTATGATTTTGGAAATCTGTGCTCTTGAATTTCATTAGATATATGTACAGAAACATCCAACCATTTTAATCAATAAGTGTGTTCTATTTATTTTGATTCAGCAACCGGTCGTTTCCAACCTCTTTCATAACTAATTCAACGTATATTTATTTTAGAAATATTATGATTACACAGGACCCATATTCACTTTTACTATCTAGGACTTTCAATTATTCTAATATACAAGTAACACAAAAACTTCTAAGATTTTTTGTTGTACAAATATCAGTACTAGCACATGGATTTGAAAATGCTCATGTATTTTTCTTATTTTGGACCGTAATATGTAATAAAAGTTAGGATGTAAAATACTTCAATATTCTATTTTTTAAACATGTATTACCATATCCGATATATACAGATAAATAATTTAAACGAGATCATGGGAAGGGTTTACATTCCAAGGGAATGAATCTTTTAAACTAAAAGAATGAATTATACAATCTGAGGTAACGTACTGTGTAATTTGAGGGAACGAATTGGTAATCTGTGAGAATGAATTGGCAATTTGTTATAACAGATTGTCAATCCGAGAGAACAGATTGTATAAATCAAGAACTCAGTTTACTTTTATAAATTTTAAAAATTCTATTTCCCTTCATGACTTTCATAGATTTCATACCTGCATGGCTGCCAGGGTTGTAAAAATAAAGGAGACAGTAGACTGCAATGTCACTTCAGGGCAAAATTCCTGGCGCAAGGCTGTTCGTGAGCATGGGAGTGTTGATAAATCATCCAGTGAGTTTGACCACCCATGTATATGATGTAGGATAATTGGAAAGTGTCTGAAAAATTGAGAAAATGGAAATTCTAACCACATACTTTATGCAGATTTGAAATACAACAGCAGTCTATAAAAACAGTTTGTTCCATATCTCAGCATTCATTCAGATATATATTACATGTTTAAATAATGTGTTTGTATAAAAATCAACCATCATAAGTATTATGTGTTTTAAACACTTATTTTTCAAAATATAAATCAAATGTGTATAAACCTGTATGAATGCGATATCATGAGAATGACACAAATGAAATTAGACTTTATTTTTTAAATTTTAGAAATACAGAAATTTTCAATACCAAAACAAAATTTTACCTGTTCATTGTTGTCCTTACATATTAATTAACCTTCCTAGTTCATGGTGGGCTTAGAAAGTGGGTATTCACAGATGAAAGTATTGTTGCATATGCTGAAAGCACCCTAAAATTTCAATGTGAAAGTGGTACATGTACACCTGTACACACTGGTACATAGATACTGAAAACAACTAACCATTATTATGAAAACTTTTATTTTACTTTGAACTTACGAGTGATTGTCAAAAGTATCAAAGTTCAAAAGCAATGCAAAATTGGCTGAACGATACGAAACAAGCACACTGAAACATAAAGATCTAGTACATGTGTACATTTAGTTTTCTTTTGAACGTGAACTATTGCGTTTTAAACTCAAACTTTTCAGTCAATATACACGTATTCTCACCTGCTAATACCAAAGGCATGTTCGTAATATTTGATTCATTGATGTGATGATCTTCGTCGTGAAATAATCATGAAAATTGACGTTCAGATTTCGGATCACCATCATGTTTAGCGGAAACACGTGTTTATTTCAATTCGTATCAACTCATACAGTGATGAGTCGTATTTATTTATAAATGCCAGTTTTTGTATTGTTAAATATATATCTAATTAAATTGCAGATTAATAAGTATACAGTATAACAAGATACAACAATATTAAAAATCTGATTGATTTTTTTAGTAAAGATCGCCATTTTGAAAATCTACAATTTTTATCAATATTGTATATCACTTCATGAAATATTCATCATTACAATCAACATTTACTTCACAAAAGGCAGAACGAAAGTATATATTTGTTTTTTGAAATCTATTTTTTTTTTTTTTGTATTATGCATTTATTTCAGTAAAAAATATATTTGAATGGTCAAAAAAGTCTTATAAAAGAATATGTTGTTTCGAGTAAGACGCAACAATATCGACCTTGACGTTACATGTAAATATTGACCGATTTTTCCATAAAAACTATGCAAAGGTCACAAATTCAAATTATCGTAATGAAGAAATTACTGAGCGTAAGAAGGTTTATAAGGGCTTGTTGAAAAGGAAATTTTCTTTACTTTTACCAGCTTTATTTTGTTTTCCATATTTCAACACAGAAATAAACGTAAAACTGAGCTTTGTTTAAATATTACGAATAAAATCGATAAAAAACACATAAGTGCAAAAAAATTCTTGTTTTTAAAGTATACCTTAAAGTAATAACAATAATTTTTACATATTTTAAAAGTAGAGAAAATATTCTTTAAGAATATACCATGCTTTCTTATAAAGTTAATCAGGAAAAAAATTGTCAATTGTCTGGAAATTCGGCAATCGCTTTGGAAAATTACGCCATTTTCAAAAAGTCTCATTTGTCTTTACAACGTAAAATCGATTAAATACCGGCAATCAAGATATAATCTTTTAAGATATTTTAAAAGTAGAGAAAATTTCCAAAAAGATGATATATAGCTTATATACCTTCATGCTACCACAAAATAGATACGGAGATCTTATTTTCGCGATCTCGTGTTTTAACGCGCCACCGGTCAATTTGACCGGTACGGAAGTGAAGGGGTTAATGTTAATTGATTTTGAAAAATCTTTTCATACTATATCATGGAAGTTTATATACCAAATATTAGACTTTTTTAATTTTAGGGAATCCATTAAAATTGGATACAAACATTTTATAATGGAATCAAATCATGTGTCATATAGAATGGAGTTTCCTCTGATTACTTGTTCCCACAAAGGGGCTGCAGACAGGGGGACCCAATTTCACCATATCTCTTTCTACTATGTGCTGAAGTTCTTGGGATTCTCATTCGAAATAATAAAGACATAAAAGGAATTGTAATTGATGTGGAGGAATATAAACTTTCACAATATGCCGATGATACTTCAATTATATCTGATGGATCACCACAGTCTATGGATGGTATATTAAGAGAGCTTGATTATTTTGCAGTTGTATGTGGACTGAAAATTAATTTTACAAAAACAAAAATGGTGTGGATCGGTAGTAAAAAATTCTCTAAAGAAGTCTTTCATCACTCTAGATGGAAGTTAGACTGGAATAATTCTACTTTTGATCTTCTTGGTGTAAAGTTTTCTATTATTTAGATGAAATGATTGAACTGAATTACCCCCCAAAATTAAATAAAATAAAGCGATTGATAAGACAATGGCAATTAAGAAATCTGACTCCCATTGGTAGATTAATAGTGATTAAATCCCTGATTATACCAAAGATGAACCATTTGATATTGACTATTCCAAACCCCAACAATGAATTGCTCGATGAATTTGAGAAAGACCTTTGTTACTTTTTATGGCGAAGTAAAGTACATAAGGTTAAGAAGAGTGTCATAATCCAAGACTATAAAAATGGGGGGTTGAAAATGATTGATTATATGGATTTCTTATGTGCATTAAAATCAACATGGATTCGAAGACTAATCTACTCAGACACAAAATGGTTAAAACTTTTTGAATCAGAATTAGGAATGAAAATTGAATCTCTTTGGGTAAGAGGTTTAGATTTTATAGTTAAGATGTGTAATAAAATAAGCAACAAATTTTGGAAAGAAGTTTTACTTAATTGGGTAAAAATCATTGACTGCAGTGGTAGTAAAAAACATGCAATACTCAAACATATATGGTTTAATCCAAGAATTAAAATAAATGATTCATCTGTATTTTTGAAAAGTTATTTTGATGCAGGCTTTGTTTTCATAAGAGATTTGTTTGACGTTGAAGGAAAATTTATAAGCCTCGAGTACCTCAATAATCTGAATATACAAACTAATTTTCTGGAATATACCGGTTTAAAAATAGCCATTACAAAGATAATGAAAAGTATGGATATTGAAAAAAAGAGAAGAAAGTGGACCTTTTATCCCAAATTCAATTTACATTTTTTATAAAAGCACAAACGGTTGTAAAGATATGTACAATATACTCATCAAGAAGAAAAAGCAAACAATTAAAGCATTAGAAAAATGGGAAAATAATGGAATATCTTTTGGTGAGTTAGAATGGAACAAAATATTTGAACTACCATTTCAAGTTACAAAAGAGACAAAATTTCAGTGGATGCAATTTCAAATCCTGCAAAGGATTATTGCAACAAATAAATACCTTTATGAACTTAAACTAATTGATTCACCTGTGTGCTTATTTTGTAAACAAGAAGTTGAAACAATTGAACATTTATTTTTTGAATGTTTCTGTGTAAAAAGAATATGGTGTCATAAAGAGGAGTGGTTTATAAAAAACTTCCATTTTACTATTAATTTTGATAGAAAAGATATACTGTTTGGAAAATACAACAATAAAAACATGTATAGATTACACAATATAATAATACTTACTGTTAAACAATTCATTTTTGCCAGTAGGTTTAAAAATATGCCTAAATTAAGTATAGTAATGCTAGAAAAAATAATTGTAGATAGAATACTGGTTGAAAAGGCTATTCTTTTAAGAAATTGTAAACTTTCAGAATACGAAAAGAACTGGAAAATTATTTGTGATATGCTATAATGTTCTTCAAATTTATACTCAAATGTACCAATACGGTAAAATAGTGAAAACTGTTCCTCCACCTCACTTTGTTTTCCTTCCTCACCCCTCCCCTTTGTTTACTTTTTTGTATATAAAGCTTTCACAATGAAGATTCATAATATACATGAATGTCATATATCTTATGCAGCTTTATGAAATGAATTTGTATTTAGCATTTACCAAAGAGAATTTGTATAAAGTAATTAATATAAATTATATGGAAGAAAAATTATATATCATATGTATGTATTGAATGTAAACAAATCTATTGTACATAGTCTGTAAATGTGAAAGCAAAAAATAAATTCTATGAATTAAAAAAAAAAAAAGGCATATTCAAAAATAGTGTTGACCTGTGTATCATCCCAAGTTATACAAATGGGTTCCTGTTTGATCAATCTTTATACATTATACAGCGTCAATCCCTCTTTTAGAAGCTTAAACAAAGGAAAATATTGCACCAGTACAACCTCAAAATAGGACTGACCTTATATTCTGTAGAAGATTACGCCAGACGATGGGCCAGATATGAAAAAGAAGATGTTTACACTTTGTCAGAATGAATTAAATGTATCAGATCCATGTTAAAGCCGCGTATTAAGAATTTTTTTTAAATTTAGGACCAACTCAACGCGCTTTGATTTTGATTTTTTTTTTTCGATGTGCGTTAAGACATAACATCAATAAATTTTATCATTGAGATACTTAACGCACTTTGAAAAAATATTTAAAAACAAAAATTCTGGATTCATATTTTAGTAATGGAAATATTTTATTTGTAATTTATCTTTCAAAACACTTTACATTGATTTACTCCCGTCGAGAAGAGGAGAGGACGAATAGAAGATATATCAGTCCAAATCTTTATCATTCCAATACATAGGCGTCGGTAACAAAAAAGGGGAGGGGAGTAATAAACCTCAAAAAGGATAAGCCGCATTTTCAATGCTTATATGATGTATATATTTCCAAAATAAGTTGGGAGCTTAGCCCCCTCCTCTTGTCTTCGCCCAGTTTCGATGCCTATGCTATATACCAAAAACAGGTACATGTATGTATAATATGTACATAATGGTATGACGTTGAAAACTTTAAATACAGATGAAACCTGAAAAAAAATTAACTACAGTAAAACGTATGAGTGAGAAAGAACTTTCATTGTTTTGAAAAATCGAATTGCCCCTTTTTTAAAGATGAACTTAATGCTTTAAGTCGTTCAGCTTTAGCCTCCCACCCACCCCCACCCCCCCATTTTTACATCTATCTATTACAGATTAGAATTTTTAAACAGAAACAAAATAATGATATTAAACAATTATCTCTCTACCTTTTTCTAAAAGACCCATTTCCCTTTTATAACTTTTATCAAAACCTAAGATATTTTCCAGAAGTGACATCATCATAAAAAATGTATCCAACAATGATCAACTATTTATCAAACCGATTATTTGTTAGAACATTGATCAAGCTTTACATTTAAATTTCAAAGTGCGTTAATAGGGTTGATATTAACGCAATTTGAAATTTTGTTTTCAAAGTGCGTTAGCTTGGTCCCAAAGAAGAAGGTATGGTTTTAGCTTTATTGCGCCCTAAAAATGTAATGACATCAAAAAGTTTTGAAACTGGTTTCAATATTAGCTAAATAAATGACTCTGATAAATCAGGAAAGAATGTGGCATAAAGGTTTACCATTCTGCAAATATGACGTCATTAATGTGAAGCATATCTCTATTTTCAACAGAAAAAGACTAAAACTGGCACATTTCAAGGGTGATTTTCCTTTAGAAAACAGTGTCCACAGCCGTCGCCCATGTTAATTTTTTGACATTTTGTGCAAAATTCAATAACAAATCACATATCTAAAGATCTTTGTGGGCGATGCCTGTGGACAATGTTATCTGAAAGAAAATTCCATTGAAAATTGGTGTCTTCTGCAACTTTTGAAGAAAATACGGGAA